TATCTTCGACTAAATGTTGTTTGCACTAAATGTTGTATGAAGGATGCTGACTTCTCTGGCAGTTAGAAAATAATACCTGTAGACTTAAATCTTAGGTTTTACTGATTTATTTGTTCACCCTTCCTTCTTGTAACCACTACTTTCTTCTCAGTTTATTTTTTCTTGCTGAAGAAAAATATTATTCAGTGATTCCTTCAAGGATAGGCTATAAGTGCTTTTTAAAAAATCCCTAGTTGTTGCAAGTTAGAAAATCTATTTACTTTGCCCTCAACCCTGAATGATAGTTTGGGGAGAGAAATCTAGGTTCAATGTTATTTTTCCACAGCAATCTGAACATGTTGCCTATATTCTTCTTACATTCAATCTTGCTACTGAAAGAGTTATTGGCAAATTCATTCTTTTTTTTGTAGATTATCTAAACTTTTTTCTTCTTAGGATTAAAAAAAATCTTTAATGTTTTAAATCCTGACTGCAATGTGCTACATGTTTGACATATATTCTGCCACTATTCTGGACACTCTTTTCATCAAAAGAGGTATGATGGTGGTGACTTTGTCCAAGGGATATTTGGCAATGCTTGGAGACATGTTTGGTTGTCACAACTGACAACCAGCCCTGGAGATGGATTTGCTACTGGCATCTAATGAGTAGAGGCCAAGAATGCAGCTAAACATCCTATAGTGCATAGGGAAGCCCATCACAACAAAGAATTAGTCAACCCTAAATGCATTAGTACCCATGTTGAGAAACCCTGAATTATGGATATTTTCGTTCTAGGATTTGGTCTCAGCCTCAGGGCAACACTTTCTAGTTGGGGAATTCAGTCTCAACCTTTGTCCTGGCCTGTGGCGTGCCAGCCTCAGCTTATTACTGTGGTTTGCCCAACTCTTTCCTACTCATGCAAGTGCCTCATAGTTTTTAGTCCCTGGAGATGTACTTTTCTTGTTTCTGAGCATGACTATGTATATAGTCATATTTTAAAATATCTTTTCCATTATTTCTATGAGTTTTGTTTTAGGAAAGGGATATTTCAGCATGTGACCTTCAAGGTCTTAATATTATACAAAGGTCACAAAGTCAATAAAATTAATTCTAGCAATACTGAACGATAAAAGGAAGCAACAAATCACCTGTACTCTCATCAACCAGAAACATTCAGGATTAATGATATTTCAGTTAACTGTTTGCTTTTTGTTTTTATATTTTTGTAGAGACCAGGTCTTGCTATGTTGCCCATGCTGATCTCTAACTTTTGGCCTTAAGTGATCCTCCCTACCTATGCCTCCCAAAGTGCTGGGATTACAGGTGTGAGCCATTGTGCCCAGCAGAAAGCTATTTTTAAAAAATGTATCAGAGAAAAATATAGGAACAGCCAGATATAGCTGATTATATTAAATGAAATGGCATTACATATACTATTTTTAAACATTTTTAACATTTATTTTGCTTGAACTTAACTAAAGAAAAAGCAGCTAATAAAGTTGAAGGAAGAGGTGAACTCCAGAATATATTTCTTTAACCCAAGAACTTGTGGTTACTGAAAGAGTGATGCAATTTTAAAATAAGTAAATTGCAAAAAACATTAGATGTTTAGAACCATTTTTAGTTATTTTGAAATGTGTTAGCACTGATTGACTTTTTACCATGAAATGTGACATCAGCACTCATACTTCCTCACTCCCTTTTTGGTAACTACTGTAATGTGCCTCTGTTGCTTTGACCTACCCAACATTCTTTCACCCTGCTTTAGGAACTGATTCTCTTTTGGGGAACTGACCTTTCTCCACTTTACATGGAGCTTTGTGGGCATTTTCAATCAAGAGACCTGCCCTGTGCTAGCTAAGAGTTGAGTGCAGTATGCAAACTAGGCAAATACAGCCCTCTCACTGTAACTTGACTTTCTTAAAACCAAGTTAAAAAATGACTACAGCCAATTCACACCTAGATCCTTGTAACAGGTACCTATCCTCTCTAAGGCGTATTTGGTCTGTTTGTCCTTTGATCCTGCAAGTGGTCTCCTGTCATGATTCTAGTAAATTCTTTTTTTGTTTGTGTGTTTGTTAAAATGATCTAAGCCTGCTTTTATGAGTTGAAACAAAAAAAAATCTGGTATAAAAATATATTTACTTTGTGATGGTTTGTAACATTCTTTTCTGTCCTCATAATTCCTACATATATTAATTATATATATGTGAATGAATGTAAAGTTTAACTTTACATTACCATTAGTCTTTATTTCTTACCAATTACCATTAGCCTTTATTTCCACATATTGTTTGCTTAGCTAGATTTCCTTATTGGGTTAGTTTTTCTTCCAGAATGATTCATAGGTCTTGTGTTTCTATAGTTTTTTTTTTTCATGTTCACAAATAACCATAAGTTGCCCTTATATTAGAGTAATATTGACTAGGTTTAATATTTTTAGGTAAAAATTTCTTTCCCTAAGAACTATAAACATGTTGCTTCATTGTCGTCTTAGATACCCTGATTATGATAGATGACAGGGATGGTGTTTATTGTCCCTTCTGAAATAATTGCAAAATCAGATGAAATATATGAAACAACAGTTCTCAAGACATTGGAAATCAGTTAATGAAGGACTGATCCCCATCCCTGTCCTAATGTGGGACGTGGCCTCTGTGATCGCCCCAGCTTACTGCCTATGGAGAGTTTCTAGGCTGCAATTCAGAGAGGGAGAACTTGGGGATAGTGTAGCAGTCTTTCACAGTTGTTTTATTGAATTTATGGAACTTCTCAAATTCTTCTATAGCATGAGACACCTGCAGGGAGTTTTCTTTTGTCCGTGGGGTTACATCTCCTTTCAGGATGAGCTCTTCATCTTGCTCATACCATGTTTCTTTTCTATATTTTTCCCAGTCTTTCTACTTAGTGATCAGGCTACCTGTCTTTCTAATGCTTAATAAGGGCAGCTTGGTAGAGTCTTTCTATTTACCTCAAGATAGTATGAGAGTGCTCTTTTTGACAACTTTCTTATATAAAATAGACTTGCTTGGCTTCCTCTCCAATGTATAGCTGGAGGGTTGTATCTTAACTACTTCTCTGTAGCTTTATCTGACCTGGTGTCATATGAGGCTCTCGCTGTTAATTTGGTTTACTCTCGATTGTTGTCTAGGAGATTCTGATAAATCTACTCAATTCAATGAAGGAGGCAAAGACATAGGAATAAGATACAGCCCCCTGTATCTTATTGAATTCATGTGAAATCCTGGAAGATACTTTCTATCTCTACAGAGAGTCTTCAGAGACAACCAGGGGGTTCTATGCCTGCAAGTCCCATTGGTTTCCCTGAGCTACTTATTCAATGCCTTAGCAGCCACCCTTTAAAAATCGGTCATATTAACAAGAATTCTGGTTATCTTTTTTTTAATGTTCTCTCTTTACTTACGCAGGTAAGATAGTAACTATGCCTTTATATAAATCTCTTTTATTCTATTTTGAAAATTTCCATACATAGCTATTTGATGCTTTATAGTGTCAGGCTGAGCTCTATTCTTTGCTTCTTTGTTGCTGCTAAACTTTTGGCTATTTTTAAAAATTAATTTTGCTCATTCTTTTAGATGTTGGTAAAAGGAGAATTTGTGATCTGGATTTACTAGGATCTTTATTTAGAATTACCAATTTTTATATTAATCATTTTATCTTAAATGGCTCTCTATTTATTATTTTAGAGTAAACAATTTGCAGTGTATTACAAGTTAGCTGTAAATCTTTTCACAAGAGATTAGTTCATGCTTTCCTAAGAAGATGTCTTAAAATTTAAAAAGTGAAATTCTTAGTTCTATAATTAGCTACCAGAAATAAACCAATTCTAGCTTCAAGTTCATACTTCCCACAGTGATCATTTTAAATTTCCTTCTTGTTGGGAAATCGCAGGGTATTGCTCTTTTTCATAGAGAATTAACTCTTTGAATTTTTAAGTTTCTGTCTCTCAGAAAAGATGGATTTGTTTGGCTATAAATATTGGGATAGTTTCTGAGAGACCAAAAGCAAATGAAGAATTTGCACTTTTATAGCAATGGCCTTTGAAAGACTAGCTGAAATCCTAAAGATTCAGCAGAACAAAGATTTAGACTTACTTCATCTTTGCATTGATTATTAAATTAAGTAGAAAACACAGTTCAACCTTTGAGTCCAGTACATTCATCCTCTTAGGCCCTCTGTCATCTTAAAATCAATCAATAAAACACAGTATATCTCCCTGAGGGACCGTGGCAGCCTTACCTTCATGTACCTAAGATTCTCCATAGGAAGAATATTAAAGCAGAACTAAAAGAGCAGATATTCCAAATAACCAAAATGCACACATAAATTATTTTAAAAGACAGTGATCAGAAAGATTAGTACCATTAAAAGAAAAAGTGGACAATAATAAAGTAATATAATGTGGTATTGCAAAATGTTATAACTCATAGTTTGTGATCATACATCTTGAAACATGCCTTGCCCATTCCTGGCCCCTACAAGGCCAGAAACACTATCCCCTCCCAGCTTCACATTCTCCCTGCACATTCCATAAGTGTTTCTGCACATGGCTGTGTTAAAAATAATAAAAAGATCTGAGTTGGCTGGCACATACAACTCAGAGGTTCTCTCATGACTAGTTCTTCCCTCCCTGACCACCCTAAATAACCAACTCTTCCCTCCATCTATACACACACACACACACACACACACACACACACACACACACACACACACAATCTCTGAGTCTCAGGGTCTTCTAATTACTCATAACTCTGATTATTGTCTGAAATTCCTTATATTTGTTTACTTGTCTATGGTCTGCTTCTGTCCCAAAGAAGACATCTTATATCTTATTTGCCACCCTATCCTCAATCCCCAGCACCTAAAGGAGTATGTGACTTAAAAGAAGTGAGGGCTCATCAAATATCTGATGCTTAAGTGTTTAGATCAAATAGTTTCACTGTTAACTAGAGATGAGAGCTACCTCATGAGTATTTTAGACTGGGGTTTTTCTGTCAGTCAGAAACCTTCAGAATATACAGATGCTTTTTTGCCCTAGAAGCCAGACAGAGCAGATGATTATAGACACCATCTGGCTTAGTTGCTCTTGGATTGATTCCAAAGACAATATTTCTTTCCAGGCCTGAAAATCGACAGATACTGTCCAACACAACGTGATCAGAGAGAATATCTGAAGCATCCTTGATTTGTATTAACAAATCAGATTCCTGGTTGAGCTGAGACATTTTTCTCTTCCTCATTGCTGTTAGAAACTTATCTTTGTATTTTTCCACTTCACTTGCTTTGCTGAAAAGCACAGCAATATCTTTGGGAGAATAACCATTCCTCCAGAGAAACTGGCATTTCTCTGCTACATAGATCAACACCTCCTCCAAGTTCCTGTGCTCAGTAATCTCTACATTTCCTGGAACACCCTGAGCCCATATAGGTTCATGATGTATCACCAGGGACCCAGGTAAGAGGTTAGGTAGAGGATTTTGTTTGATTTCTTGCATTACCTTCTGTAGGTAGTCGGCTATTGGATCTGCGCTGCGGATTACTCTGATGAGATCTTCTCTTGGAGTTAAGTGCAAAGGTAGGCCACAGCAACTCAAGTGGTTGGTCTGAAAGTAGTCCAGAAAGATCCAGAGAATTCCTGGGGGATTATTTTCTCTCTCAGTGATTGATTTTGCCTTTTTATACCAGTTCCCATCTTCAGTGCGGAAATTCTGAGCTTCATCAATGACAATGTGTTGAATGTGTTCAAAGTCATTTTTCATGAAGGTTTTCCGGGTAACTGCCTGGCAGGTGTTTTTCTTACTGAAAATATAAGAAACACAGTCAGGTTTTCTCAATGAAACGAATGATGCCAATTCTACTATTAAACTCCTCTGGTCATAGTAAATACAATAAGAATCTTAGCTTATAAACTTAAAACCACACCAACCAAAGTCACTCAAGAAAAGAAGTGAACACAGGCAGCATACCTCACCAACTTTCTCAGGAGCTCGTTCTCACAGATGTAGAGAATGTCACCTGGTTCACAGTGAAACACATTTCTGATCTTCTCCATGATCCCAAGAGCCAGGACAGTCTTCCCTGATCCAAGAAAGCCATGAACAAACAGTTCTCTGGTCTTGTGGAGATTCTTTGAAAGCAACTCATACTGTTTATCTGTGAACAGGTTCAAAACCTCAGAGCCCAGCTCTTTACTTAGGGATCTGAACCCAAGCAAGACTATCACAAGGGACCGTAACAGGGCTTCCATGTACTGGGTGGTCGTAAGGATATAGGACTCGGGGTAAATTTTCAAATCTGAACTGTAAAAGGTCTGTGTTGTTCTATCAGGATTCAGCAGGAAGACCAAGGGAGTGATGCATAATTTCCCAGTGTAGCCACCTTTGTTTACCAGTCTCTGTTTCAAAGAATGGGCGACTATCAGAGAATAGCCTTTGCACCCTATATCCCACTTGCTGAAGATACAGTAGAGGATTGGAGTGTTGTTCTGGGAAATTAGAAGAGCATCACAGATGACTCCTTGCTTCTCTTTCAGACCCAAGTCCACAGCCCAGCTTTGAGAAAAAATCAGTATTCCCTGAGAGACAGGGCGCATTTCTGTATTTATTAAGTCTCTGAGTCCTTTATGTTGTAAGAAGAGTTCCTTGTAGAGGCTTTCTGGAGTATACACCACTCGGTCTGGAAATACTAGACAGAGAAATAATTGGAATAAATTAGAAAATTCTCAGACAAGCTAGGAATCATCATTATATATAGTAGATTCAATCAACATTGGAACTCTGCCATGTGTCCCAAACAGATTATACAAGTACATTAGTAATAAGAAGATAAAAGAGTTCTTAGTTTGATGGAGCTGCTAATTGGCAGGCATAGAGACAACAATAACTATGATACAAAGCAGAAAATGCAACTGGAAGAAAGAATGCAAATTACTATATAAATACCAAGGAAAGGTACAGGTTAAAAAAGAAGGAAATATGAAAGTCTTTATGAAGGAGACACCTGAGTTGATTCTTAAAGGATGACTTTGAGTTAGCCAGCTGACAGAATAGAGAGATAGTCAAAAGAAGACACAGAGCCAAGGGACAGCAAGGTCCCTGTGCAGTTTAATGATGTCTAAAATGAGAGGCAGGGGAGTGGAGATGAGGATGGGTAGGAAGGCATTTGAGTGCCATCTTAACAGCTGGCAAGGCTATGTGCTGTATGTTTCACTTACATGACATTCTGTAAAGCGAAACTAAAGATATGGAGGACAGATCAATGGCTGTCAGAGGTTAGGGATTAGGGAAGAGTTTGACTACAAAGGAGTAGCATGAAGGAGGTTTTTTTGGAGGGGTTGTAGTGATGAAATTGTTCTGTATCTTGACTATGGTGGTGCTTACACAAATCCATACATGTTTTAAAACTCTTAGGACTGTATAACAAAAAAAGTTTTTTATGTATGCAAATTCCAAAACAAAATTTTAAGTACTTTTTGAAGAAGCATATATGTATATTTAAAAGATACATACGAGGAGATCCCCCACCCAAATGAAATTATCTTTTGGAGGGCAGGTCCCTTGTAGTATAGGCTTCCTGGTCTACATAAGTGTTCTAGGAACCCATCAGCATCAGGATACCAGGTAGTGTTGTGAAAGACTGCATTTGGCTTCTGTTACTTATTTATTTATTTATTTGGTAGTCTTTCAATACATTTGCCCATTTCATGATAGGTGATTTACATGAACAACCTGCCTACACTGTGTTGAGTGTTCAGCAGTTTTTTGTTTTTTTTAAATTCTGAGCAATTTATTCTCGAGTATTACAGTGTTCAACCAGTTTGACATATAAAGATAACAAACATAACAGTAAACATTGGAAGGCACACACATATATTCCCATTCTGAAAGAAGACATGTTATATATACGGAAAAAAAAATGCAGCAAATATTAAGGCATTCCAAGGAATTTTTGACAATTCAGGTGTGACATATTTACAAGAAAAGTGTAATTTTAAAATAATTAAATAATTTCCAGACTTATAAAAGAACTGAGATAAATATTAGGAGACCCTGACAATCACAAGAACAACTTCCTATTCTACTGAATAAGGGTAGTTCTATAAAAAAGTCCCAAAATAGAACTAATATTTTGCCACCATGAAGTATATCAAATCGCCAATACCAAAATATGCTAAAGTGAACATGCAATGTGAAAGCTGTACCCCCCAAAAAACAGCACTAGGCCTCTTGAATATCACAAAGTGTCTGTACAAGATTTCTTAGGTGTGTTCATGAAAAAGGAACTCTCAAAAGAGTCATTAGAATAGACATATCAACAGAAAAAGTGATAGCTACTTAAACTCTTTTCATCCTATCATTTTCAAATGTAGCTGCAAAAGAGAAAAAAATCTAAATAGAACTTTTAAAAAATATTAGCTCATGAATAAAAAGTTGAGTGGTGCATTCTTTATGCATATGGATTTTTAGACAGATGTAATTCTGTATAATATATCTTAACCTCTGGACCCGACCACTGTAGTAGGAAATTTCTCTTTCTCTGTCTCAGACAAGAAGTCATCTTAGAAAATGAAAAGGAGAAACTTTCGGTGATATGTATGAATTCAAAACAAAACAGTACTGTATAATGGCAAAATACCATAAAATAGCAGCATGTGAAATTCAAGATGTTTTCTTAAAGCAAACGTTTAAGACTGAACAGCAAAAATGATCTGTAATTCAACACATGAAACTAAGGATTCTTTAGAAAGGTTGTTATATTTATGAAATCCCCATGACTAACTTTGTTTTTTAAAACATTTATATTGCACAGGTAGTAGAATACCATCATCCTGGTATCTCTAGCATAAGATACTATCGTATTTAACATCTTAAACTATGCTACTAAAAATTAATTTTATTCCAGTATTTAAAACCAATCATGTAGGACTTTTAAGCACATTAATCTCAAAATGTTCCTAAACAAGATGAAAAAATGTAGGTTATTAGTGACAAAAAGTAGAGGCCGCAACAAGTTCATGACTAAGGGCAGTTATGTCTTTACATATAAACTTGAGGTCTTTCACGGATCCAAATTGAGAAATAAAAACTATTTATGAAACTTTGATTAAAAAAAAATCAGATCTCCCCCAAAATTTCCCACCAGATAACTTTTTTAACACTCATTGCTCCAAGTTGTGACTAAGCATTTTCAAACAAATGTCTAAGATACAGTTGTTTGAATTCTAATTTTCCCCTTTTTTCTACCCTAGTACAATCTACAACCCTCACCTCAAGATCCAGGGCATCAAAAATGGTTATAATTTCAAAATAGTCCACACTGTAGTATAAGTTTTACAGCACCACAGACATCATATGTTTAGATATCTTAGTCTGGCAATATTTCATTTAGAAATATTAACCAATAAGAATGTGTGAATGTCAAACATTTAATAGAAAGTCATAGTAGCATTTTTAAATGACCAAAATAATTAATAAGCACTTTTAAATGTTTAAATTGTTAAACATTTAAACTGTCAAAGTCACCAGGAAAAAGAAAAGTCACATACATTTTTACCACTCAAACAAAAACACACAAATCTTCAGACAGATACTGAGACACTTGGGATTTTTCCTTTTTTTTTTTTTTTTTAAAGAAATTATATTTAGTTTGACCACTCCCTAGATTCTTGGTTTACCAGCTTATAAACAGTACATCTAAGAGGCAGTATAATATACACATCAAAAACCATTTCACCCTTATCATCTTTGGCTAGAAGCCTCATATAAGGAAGCTGAACATGGCCGAGGCAGGGCAAAGGCTACATGCTTCCTTCACACACGTCACTGACCGGAAGGCTCACATCATCCAAGTCCACTGGGTCACAATCTTTTTCCTGAGGGCCATTTTTACTTTGAGGTTTTAGCAAAGCTTGTTCAGTCACTTTGGAAGCTGGTTCTCTTGGAGAGACAGTCTGGATCTTGAAGTTCCCTGGCTTGACCTTGGTAAGAGATTCGTAAAATCCTCGCTTCTCCATGGAAAAACTTGAGACCAAAGAGTTGCTGAGGCTGTGGAATGTGAGGCAGTGGCTGCTGCGCCAGCAGGACAGAAAGTGTGCTTGAATTCTGAAGGACAGTGGGGCTGCTCAGAAGACGCTGATCTGCCTGGTCCCCGCTGTGCTACAATGGCTCCAGAGATTACTTTAATCCAACTATGCATCTCTTCAGGGCTATCAGCCTGCACATAGAAAGTTCGAGACGTTGTTACAATTTCAAAGAGGTTGTCCCTCATCATTATGTCACTTTGCTTACATTCCTGAACTTTATGAACCTCTTTGAGTGGTATTACACGGAGAGGTTCCTTTTCCAGTTCAGATTTGAAGTAGCCTATTGTGTTTTCATCCAATTGAAAATATCTTCTCTTCCAGTTTTTCATCACTGCTCCTTGTTTTATACAATATCCAGCTTTGATAACAGCACTATCTGGAGGTGGTTTAGGAGTAAAGTAAGGAAGATGGCTTTGTGATCGTTTCAAATTATTTCTGTCAATGCTTTCACCACATTCATTTACGTCTTCTTTCTGAGTTGGAGTAATGATGGGCACACCACCAACAATATCAGTTCTGTAAGACACTTGCTTCTTCCCACATTCACCTTGGCGACTTGGGTTATTGGAATTAGGCTGTGAATCTGACTGCTTTGGTACTGTAATTTTTATAGCTTTGTTCAACACATTTACCCATTCTACTCGGTCCTGCTGATCATTGGCTTGTAGAAAATATTTCCTCATTCCTGCATTCATAACAAAACAGAATTCAGCCTTTGGCCTTAGCTTAGTTGCATCGCTAACCTTTGAAATGTAGGTAAGTTTGATGGCTCCAACACCTGATGATCCAGAAGGTAGGTTCTGTGGATTATCCATGTACCATACAAAACTGTCTTCTCTGGTATCCAATATGAAGTACCTTCGAAGAAATTTGCCACTGTTTTCATTTTCTTCAATGTCTAGAAAACCACAGATGCAATTCTGATGATCCACATAAGGCATTTCTAGGCTTGAACATTACACGCGGCCTCGACCCGGAGCACCCGCGCCACCGCAGCCCCGGCTGCCTCCGGCACTCAGCTGCCCCGAGCGGCGCCCACGACCGTTCAGCAGTTTTTTACCAAAAACAGCATGACCCCTTGCCCTACCATCCCTATTCACCCAATTTCATCATGAGCAACTCTTTTTTTTTCGTTTCCCCGGATTAAAAAAGTCCTCAAAGGGAAATGTTTTGCCAGTGTGAAAAAGATGAAACAAAAAACAGCAGAAGCACTAAGAGGCATCAAAATTGACGAGTTCAAAACTGCTTTGAGTAGTAGACAGAGAGTATCTTGAAGGTGGCTGAAGTTTAAACATGTAAGGATAAATAAAATTTTATAAATAAATTCTGGATTTTTTTGATTCTCCCATACATTTGTAAACACACACACACACACACACGTGTGTGTGTGTGTGTGCGTGTGTGCGTGCGTGTGTGTGTGTGTGTGTGTGTGTGTCTCAAATCTTCTGGGGTTGCAAGCCTGAATTTGAAATCTAGCCAAAAGTACGAACCCTCTCCCAAGAAAACAAAATCAAAAGCACACAAAATTTGAAGTTCAAATTAAGGGTAGAGGGACAAGTCAAGGATGAATCCAAATTCCTGTGCTTTGCTAGATGGACTCTCCAGCTGATAGAGATATCAAGGAAGAAATAGAAAAATAATACTTAATATAGAATAATGTGCAGAATATACAGAAGAAATAGCAGACTGTCAGAGTGGAGAGATCAGTTTTGGAAATGCTCAGCTGGGGAGACCTATGGTACATCAAACTGTCCAGCAAGCAGCTGGACAGACCAGCAAAGTTTGTCTGTGCTCAGAGAAATACAGCAATTATTTTCTATAAAAGTGGTCTAAACTAATGGTATCTCCTACAACTATTTGGATTTCGTGTTGTTCTTTTTTTTTTTGAATAAGAATCTCACTCTGTCACCCAGGCTGGAGTGCAGTGGCACACTCACAGCCACCACAGCCTCGACCTGCTAGGCTCAGGTGATCCTTCCACCTCAGCCTTCTAAGTAGCTGGAACCACAGGCACATACCACCATGCCTAACTAATTTTTTTTTTTAATTTATTGCAGAGACAAAGTCTCGCCAAGTTGCCCAGGCTGGTCTTGAACCTCTGGAGTCAGCCAATCTTCTCGCCCCTGTCACCCAGAGTGTTGGGATTACGGGTGTGAGCCACCACACCTGGAGTGGATTTCATGTTGTTCTAAAATAATGATCCAAAGAACTGAAACAAGTACAAACGGGTAAAATGTATAAATACAGGAAACGTTAGTTCAAAATTATCTTTACTTTTGCATTAATAAGATTTTTGTTTTGTTTTTCTGGTATTTTTAGCATATAAACAACAAAAATTTAATTCTCACAGTTCTGTAGACTGGGAAGTTCAAGATTAAGGTGCCAACAGATTTGGTGTTTGGTGAAGACTCACTTTCTGGTTTATAGATGTCTCCTTCTCTCTGTGTCTTCATACGGTAGTAAAATTTTTGGACATGGTATAGTGCATACGTATTAAAACTAAGAGCTTTCCTACATGCCAGAAATTCATAATCAGAAATCATTATCATGTAAGGATCCCATCTCAGAAGAAAATGTAATATATATAGTAACAATATGGATAAGACTTTGAAACACTAGAGAGATATACATTTCATTGATTATAGATGTGCTTTAATGTCTCTGAAGTCAGAATACATCTTTTTCTTTTTTTAAGAGACAAGATCTTCCGTCACCCAGGCTGGAATATAGTGGCATGATCATAACTCACTGCAGCCTCAAATTCCTGGGCTCAACTGATTCTTCTACCTCAGCCTCCCAAAAGCACTGGGATTACAGGTATGTGCCACTGCATCCAGCCAGGATATATCTTATAGGTTTTCTTGGGGGAGGGAGTTTGGCGGGTTTTTTGCTTATTTGTTTTTTTGGGGGGGTTGTTTTGTTTTGTTTTGAGATGGAGTCTCACTCTGTCACCTAGGCTGGAGTGCAGTGGTATGCTCATGGCCACTGCAGCCTCGACCTGCTAGGCTCTGGCGATCCTTCCGCCTCAGCCTTCCCAGTAGCTGGAACTACAGGCACATGCCACCAAGTCCAGCTCATTTTTTGATTTATTGTAGAGATAAGGTCTTGCCAAGTTTCTCAGGCTGGTTTCGAACCTGTGGACTCAGGCAATCCTCTCTCTTTGGCCTTCCAAAGTGCTAGGATTACAGGCTTGAGGCACTGCACCCGGCCTACATCTTATAGTTTAACTGGTAATATTTTCTACTTTAGTGTTAAATGAAATAATCGCACAATGTTGTTTTCTTATATATCATGAACTATGGTAAAAGAAGACTTGAATAAATGGCTAGACATTCCATGTTCAACTATGAGAAAATTCACTATTGCAAAAATGACAATTCTATCCAAATTAATTTATCAATCGAATATAATTGCCATCAAAAAGACATCAGACAATCATTTTTCTTTTGGGTAGAACAAAATGATTCTAAGCTTCTTCCAGAAGAGAAACATCATGATGATACCATGTTGGTGAAAGTATACTTGGGTATATGTTTTGAATTACAATCTGGCAATGTTCTACTAAATTTACAAGCATTACTACTACTTGGAATTTATCCTTAAAAAGTGCCATAAGCATTTTGTAGAAAAATGTGTATCATAGCACTGTTTAAAACAGAAATAATTAGACATCATCTAAAAGTATATCAAAAAAAGGACTGGTTAAAGAAATGATAGCAGAGGTGTTTGCAAAGTGCTATTTTTTTTAAAAACTTGGGTGATGGTTACACGAGCTTCATTGTACAATTATTTATTAAATTACATCTTTGTTCTGTGAACATTCTGTATGCATAATACATATTACAATAAAAAAAGCTAAAAATAAGAACATTTATGATTAAAAATACTGTTAAACACTTCCAGACTTCAAACTTGCTATAAGGCTACAATTATCAAAATAGACTAGTATTGGTACAAGAACAGGCATATAGACCAATGGAACAGGATAGAGATTCTGGAAGCAAAGCCTCAATTTCTCAACCAACTCATCTTTGACAAAACCTCTTACAAAAACCACTGAAGGGAGGAGAACCTAATAAGTAAACGGTGCTGAGAAAACTGGCTGATCACATGCAAAAGATTGAAACGGGACACCTACCTGTCACCATACACAAAAATCAACTCTAAATGGATCAAAGACCTAAACATAAAACCTCAAGCTATAAGAATCTTAGAAAATGCAGGAGACACCCTTATGGAAATTGTAACTGGCAAACCATTCCTGATCAAAACCCTAAGTGCCCATACCATAAGAAACAAGATAGACAAGTGGGACTTCATCAAACTGACGAGCTTCTGCAAAGCAAAGGAAACTATCAAGAGAGCAGGGAGACAGCCCACAGACAGGAAAAAATATTTGTCAACTCTATATCTGACAATGACCTAACATCTAGGATCTACAAGGAACTCAGACATGCCAAAAGGAAAAAAACAAACGCCCCATTAAAAAGAGGGCAAAAGATATGAATAGACACTGCTCAAAAGTAGATATACGGGCAGTCAACAGACACATGAAAAAGTGCTCAGCCTCACTCATCATCAGGGAAATGCAAATCAAAACCACATTGAGGTAACACCTAACCCCAGTAAGAATGACCATCATTAATAAAACAAACAACTACAGATGCTGGCGAGGATGTAGAGAAAAAGGAACGCTTCTACACTGCTGGTGGAAATGCAAACTAGTGCAACCTCTTTGGAAGACAGTGTGGCAATTTCTGAAAGCACTAGAAATTGAATTTCCATATTTTTAAAATGTGGTGCATATACACAATGGAATATTATGCAGCCATAAAGAAGAAACATATGAACTTGGCAGCCACTTGGATGGATTTAGAGTCTATCATACTCAGTGATCTATCACTGAAACAAAGAACAGAGTACCATACGTTCTCACTCATAAGTGGACCGTGAACAATTATCATAATACTGTAAGAAAGGGATTGGCAGTAGCAGTAAACTGCCAGGGAAGGAGGGGTGAGATTGGCAGTTGAGGGAAACTGCCAGGAGAGAGAGGGGCACACCTCATCAACAAGGGTACCTGCGTAACAAACATTTGTATACCGAACCTGAATTGTATCTGACATCTTTAAAAGAAAAAAATAAAAAAAGAAATGCTGTGAAATACTATACAATCAATAAAAGAATCAGGTAAACCCATGAGTAAGATCATGACAAGATATACAAACACATTACTTGGATTCAGTCTTGCGCTTGTACATAGCTGTGGTACATTCATTTTCACTGCTGAATAATATTCCATTATATGACTATACTACAATATATTTAGCTATAGTAGTGACAATAGATATTTTGTTTCCTATTTAAAGCTATTACAAATAGTTAATCCATGAACCCTCATGGTCATATCCACAATTAAACACATCTGAGGTATATTTTTCTCTAGAAACTAGAAAGAATTGCTGAATGGTAGAGTATGCAAATGGCCAACTATATAAGATAATGCCACATTTGTTTTCCAAAGAGATTAGACCAACCTTAACTCCCTGTAGCAGGTACTAAGATACTGTTTATCTACAACCTCTCCAACACATGATTTTGTCAATTAAATGGTGTAAAATAGTATCTACTTGAGGTTTTGATTTGCATTTTTGCACATCACTGATGGATTGAGCATCTCTTTATAAGTTTATTGGATATATGTGCTTCCTTTTCTGAGAAATGAATATTTATAATGTTGCCCATTTCTTTCTACTGGGTTGTTTGTCCTTTTAAAAATGTGGGTAAGTTCTTTATATGTTCTTGATACCAATTACTTATCAGCCTCAAGGATTATAAATATCATCTTCAAGTTTGTAGTTACATCTTTTTACTTTATTTAAGGTATTTTTTGAGGAACAAAAGTTTGTAATTTTAATATAGAGAAACTTATCAGTCTTTTTGTTTAAAGTTCAATAATTTTGTATCTAGTTGGGAAATCCTTTCCTACCTCAATGACAAAACGATTCACATACATTTTCTACTAAAAGTTTTATTTTATTTTTATTTTGAAGGCACATTCTCACTTGTTGGAGTACAATGGCACATACCTCGAACTCCAGGGTTCAAGCAATCCTCCTGCCTCCCAAGTAGCTAGAACTACAGGCATGCATCACCATGCCCAGCTAATTTTATTTTATGTTTTTATTTTTGTAGAGATAAAGTCTCACTGTGTTGCCCAGGCTGGTCTTGAACTCCTGGCCTCAAGTGGTCTTCCTACTTCAGTCTCTCAAGATGTTGGGATTATAGGCATGCACCACCATGCCTGGCCTATTTTCTACTACAGGTTTTAAAAGTTTGTTCCTGTTATTTAATTCATTAAACCTTGTGTCATTGATTTTATGTGTAATATAAAATAAACTGAATTTTATTTTTTTCCATATGACTGAACAATCAACATGTTCCAAAGCAAATAAAGATGACAAATTACCTGGAAAGTAACGCTTCTGCTGTTCTTCCAAACATCCCAAATTCTTATGAACACACACAGCCCTGCTGTGAGGTGTGGCAGATGACAAACTCAGCTCAAGCACCATCTCAGAAAACCTGGAAAGATCTTAGAAAACAAGAACCAAGGGTTCAATATGTAAAAAGGCAGGCCTCAACTCACCACTAAGCTATGCTGCAAAGGCTTTCACTTAGTCTTATAACTCAAGCCACAGCCAACAGATTTTTTTCAACATTCCAGGTCAGTTCAAGAAAGCCCACTGAGGTTTTGAGGGGGAAAATAACTAATGTGGAACAACAGTTTTTAACTTTATTATATTGAAGCAAAGCTATGTTTATATTTTTAGAATGTTACTTTTTGAAGAAATATGATTAAAAGATGTGAAAGTCAATGGATATAGATTTCTGAGCAGATTCTGAAATAAACTTTTTTCTGGACTTCTGAAGAAGTTATCATTGATTTTCTTTTGTCTAGTTTCATCTCAGACTTTCCTTTTCCAAAGTGGGTGTAGATCACCAACACTACTCTTTGACTTAACAGTCATGGCTAGCATCACATGTTGGCTCCCAAAAGCAAAAGCGGAAAAGGAAAAGGATAGTCATGGTTTGGTCATGTTTTGGTTTAAACATGGAAATGGGGCAATGGGAAAGCGAAAATATTCAATTCAGGGAACCAGACGAGAATGGGAAGCCAGAGGAAAGTAGCAGTAATTTAAAGAGGACACATCTGTACATATGGAAAAGAAACTTTCTGAATAATTAAATGCATGTTTATAATTGGAAAGAAAGAGACTTGATTATGAACATAAGAAAGATCGTGAGTATAGAAATAACTTGTCAAACGACTTCCTGCACAAACCTTTAGTGGAGCTACTACCCTGGGGCATCTGTTGAATGTAGAAAATTCAAGATAGTAGAGGAAAGGAAGGGAAATGACCCACCAACTGCATCTACAGGAATTGATAAGTCAGACATCTGCAACTCAGGGAGTACTGTTCTTCCCCAGATTCCAAAGAATATCACACCTTCCTCTCCTCTCTGCCCTGCCCCGCCCCACTGCCAGCAAACATTGCAATCATTGTTGGTCTTGCTCCCTGACCTGGGTCGGCTTCCATCATCCAAGCAACCCATTCCTTTGTGGCCAGGTGTCTCACATGGTTGTCCTTCACTTGCCAGGAACTAGGTACTTTGGCAAACACTGCACAGCAGAATTGCTCCACCTTGATCGCACAGACATATCCGTGGAGGGTCCCCTTATCATGTACTTCAAGGAATTTGATGGCATATTGTATCTCATGCTTCTGAGTGCAGAAATGATGAATGGGTAACTTTTTAATACAGCCATCAATAGAAGCCCTCAAGGTGGTAAGGTCTATTTTCTCTTTATCACATCCAATGACTTGACAGGTCTCATTATGCACACCAAAAAATACATATCCTCCTTCAGTATTTGCAAATGCAGAAACACACTTGGGGAGTCTCTCTTTAACACACTGTGACACGTGTGCTGAAAACATTATAAATTCAACATGTATGGACTCAGGAAAGTTGAGTTTTTCCAGGTACTGAAGCTGATCCCTATCAAACAAAGCAGCAGCTAAAGCCTTTATGTTACCCTGAGCTTCCTGTGATCTTAACAAATTGGAGTTTTTAAAATTCATAAGAGTCTGAGTCCTGCCTTTGAGGAATGCCAAAGCTTCCTTAGGATCCATGACATTAGTAGTCGCTCTCTGTCGGCGGTACAGATTGGAGCACAAGGTAGCAAGTCTTACACCAGCCTCTGTGTTCCATGATTTCACAAAAATCAAGAAGAGGTTTTCCTGCTGCATCTCATCTAAATAGCTTCCGAAAATTGGAGGCAGATCTAATCCTACCCCATGACTTTCATAATCGTAGCCTTCATTCTCAATCTCAGCCTTGATGATGCCCCCTCCAGAATTCAGCAGAGCACATATTGCTTGCAAGATGACTTCTTTCTGTTTCTCCTGCAGTTGAGGGTTCATTTCCTGCCTTTGCTGGATCCCAAGGATGATTTTTCCTACATCCAGAACATGCTCTGCATAGTTTGTTTCCAAATCAATCTTGAGACTCATCTTTCTCAGCACTTGACCTATTGCTGCCCTGAAATGTTCTCCTACAAAACAGAAAGATGGAATCATTAGAATAGGGGAAGAATAGGGGAGAGGCAGGAAAATCAACAGTTTAAGGCCGCCCTGTTGAAGCTGGTCACTTCATTTGTTCCTGCATAGCTTGAGGCTAAATGTGTGTATGAATTAAGCACGTCTGGTGGGTTCAGGAGAAAAGTCAGCTGGGAGACCACTGCCTTCACAGAAATGGTCAAGAGGCTATTTTCATGCTGTGATTTTAGTAAATTTCTGCCAAGTTCTCTGAGTAGCAAGGTCTTTCAGGTCACCTGCAGAAAATAGGAAATTTTACAACAATACTCGTGGACTGTGGACTAGAGCAGGAAAGTTTCGTGGTCAAAGGTATCTCGGGTTATGCTGATTTGTATTATTTTTCTTCTCTCACTGAGATCTGAGCAATTTTCAGATTAATTTGTAGCCCAATTTTGGGACGGGATAAAGCTGATTGTGTCTGGTGATATATCACTGTTGCTATGGAGCAGACCTTTTAGCTTCCCCTGATCCAAATAGTCCTCATCTTGCCTCACCACCCCCAAATTGTACATACATCCTAGTTCTGTTTCTTATGACTAGGGGACATAGAGGGACAATTTCAGCTAGGAGGGGCATAGGCAAGATTGAGCCTAGCACAGCATCAGGACACAGTTTGGTCCATATCCTGTTTACTCCATAGTAACTCCAAAACATCAAGCATTGCTGCAAAAAAAAAGTTCTTTACTCCAGTGAAAGAAAAGAATCTGATGACTTATACCCATAATTCCAGCACTTTGGGAGGCCAAGAAGGGAAAATTGCTTGAGCCTAGGAGTTTCAGACCAGACTAGGCAACATAGCATGACCTTATCTCTACAAAAATTTTAAAAAATTAGCGGGGCATGGTGGCACACACCTGTAAACCCAGCTGCACAGGAGGTTGAGATGGGAGGATTACTTGAGCTCAGGAGACAAGACTATGGTGAACCATGATTACGCCACTGCACTCTGGTCTCGGGGGTTATAGGGTAGAATCTGAGATCCAGTAGTTAGTAAATCACAAGAACACAATGTAAACATTGGCAACAGGAGCTCAGGTTGATGTTGGAGTGTTGCCAGGAAAAGCCACATGCTCAAGCTACCAAGGATTAATTCATATGAAGTTCAAAACCAGGCAAAACTAAGTAACATGTTATTTGGGAATCACATATAGGTAGTAATATTTTACAGAAAAGCAAGGAAATGATAGACATACCATTCAAAATACTGTTTGCTCCTGGTGAAGAGGAAAAAGATAAAATCAGGGAGGGATAGAAACAGGGGAAGAATGGAAGAATATACAGGAAGCTTGTTAGGTCCTAGAAACGTGTTTCCTAATCCAGGATGGGTACATGGGTGTTCATTTTTAATTGTTTTAAACTATTCAAATAAAGTCATATTCTCTTTTGCATGTGCGATATATTTTACAATAAAATTACTCAAAAATGAAATGGGTTTTCAAAAGTTTTTTTTCAGGCATTGTTATACAAGATTTTGTTTTGTTTTGTTTTGTTCAGGTAGACACTGTTCCCCTGCAAGTCTCCCTCCAATGTTCCACATGTGTCATTTCCTTCCTGGTTAAAACCTTAGGGCTCTACCTCCCAACTCTGAGAGGCACACAGATTAGATTAGGTTCTGCCAAAACACACACATACACACACACACACACACACACACACACACACACACACACCACAGTTGTTTTTTAAAGGTAAATTCTGTGTACCCTACATTATTTTTATTTCAATTTACATTTTTCCAAGCAGTGAAAGTAATACATGCTTAATGTAAAAAGAAATTGAAAATGTCAAAAAAATTGAAAGCAGAATTAAAGAAAAAGAACAGTATAAATTCACCATTTAAAGATTTGGCACTTCTGGTGCATTTCCTTCTGCACTCTAGATGCTTTTTTGTGTTGTTCATTTGCAGAACTATAAACAAATAAAAATTATCTTTTGTAACATCATCAATCTCTTCTTAATCAAAAAAATAACAATATTCCAATTTAAGAATCCCAGGAAAGATGCATGTGTCTTCTTCTTCCTTCATAAACCACTGAAAAACAATAGTGACTCAAGAAACATCCAAAAATTTAAATCCCAACATATATGCAGAATGAATGTCAAATGCAGTGAAAACTTAACCAGGAAGTTGGGAACTCTAAAACAGAATGCCTGCAGGTACAAATGCTGGGCATTTCTGGCAGAATCTGGAGTTCTCTAAAGTAGAAAGAAAATCAATGACTATTTGGAACAACCAGGTGGTGGTTGAGGTGGGCTTTACACATTTCCTATACTCAACTGACAATCGTCTAGATTGTGTAGTATTGGTAAAAAGACAGATAAATAGATTCATGAAACAGAATGAAGAGTTTAAGAATAAACCCTCACATGTAGATAACTAACCTTCAAAAAAGGTACAAGGTGGAGAATGTAGTCTTTTCAACAAATCACACTGAAGAGTTCATTCATATGAAAAAGAAATAAACTTCAATTCATATTTTGCACCACTTACAAAAATTTACTCCAAAAATGCTATAGAGCTAAAACAATGTGGAAATAAATGTAGACTGCCCAAATGAAAACAGGCACAGACCATTTATTCAGAGCTTGCTATACAAGGGAGTCAGCCACCATCACTTGCATTTGGTAGAGACTCAAAGATAGCTGTGGGAAGGTTTTACAGTGGGGAAAAAAGGGGAAGACTTCAGGTGTGCGCTGCCTTGAGGTTGTTATCATGGGGAAGATGGAAGTGGGCTTACTAGAAGCAGGATTGTGATTGGTTTGTGGAGCATATTTGGCTTTCTGAGTTGGAGGCAGGAGCAAAAATTAGGGAAGCCCATAGTTATTGGTCAAGTCCTGACCACTGTAGGACAACTGATTCAGAGGTTGTGGTTTGGTTTCCCTGGCTAGTTGCTGCTGAGGTTGTATGTCAGAGTCCTATTTTTATATATGATCTAGCCATTGTGCATATGTATATTCAGTTTCTTGGTCCTTCTCTCCTTCCCTTGGTCATTTTCTTGTTTGTGAGAAGTTTACCAATTCATGGAAGGCTAGAAATCCATATATTCCCTGCTCAGGTTGTTCAGTCATCTCCACAGTCAACTGTATTGCAAGATCTTCTTGACTTTTTTGTTGCATCATCAAGTTGATCAACTGATGAGAAAGTAGCTATGTAAAAGCATCTAAGACTCTGAAAAAAAATGCAACAGACCAGCATCACCACCATTATGATAAAAGCAAGAGCAATCAACCGGACTTGGTGGCTCAGCCTGTAATCCCGTGCCTTTGGGAGGCTGAGGTGAGTGGATTGCCTGAGCCCGCGGGTTCGAGACCTGCCTGGGCAACTTGGCAAGACCTCATCTCTACAATAAATACAAAATTAGCCGGGTGTGGTAGCATGCGCCTGTAGTTCCAGCTACTTGGAAGGCTGAGGCGAAAGGATCGCCGGAGCCCAGCAGGGCAAGGCTGCGGTGGCCAGGAGCGGCCACTGCACTCCAGTCTGGGTGACAGAGTGAGACTCCAACTCAAAAAAAACCCAAAAAACAAAAGCAAGAGCAATCAATAGTGCCTCTAAAATGGCTTAGAAACAAGAACTCCTATTGCCTAACCCAGGTCAAACTTGAATAATTATCAAAATACCCTAAGAAAGGGATTGTCAGTAGTAGGAAACTGCCAGGGGAGGTGAGGGATGGAATTGGCAGTTGAGGGAAACTGTTAGGGGAAGGAAGGGCACATCTCATCAACAAGGGTACCTGCATAATGAACATTTGTATATCTAACCCTGAATTGTACCTCATATCTTTAAAATAAAATAAAAAATTTTTTAAAAGAGCAAGTCCCATAAGCCATGACAGCAATCTTAGAAAGCCAAGTAGTTTTTTCCTTAAGGTAATATGGAGTCTGTTCTACCTTTCCTGTTTCATTGATCCAAGTACAACAAGAAGTATTAGCAATAGCACAGATGCCACCATGGCTAGCCAACAAGAAATCTAGACCAATGTGATTGTCCATCACTACTCATGCTAATTTGTATTCTATCTAGGGAAGAAACAGTGTCATTAATAACTTCTGTCAGAGCTAGTGATAAGTTTCTTACAATATTTTCTCTCTGTATGATTCTCACTGACGAGACTATTGTCTTGATTGTTCATGTAAATAATGAGTTGGTCATTCCCCACAGTGTTCCCAAATAGTCAAGGGTGGCTTCATTTTGTATTTCACATTGGAGGCAGAATTTCCAACCTTGGTGACTTATGGAACTAGAGTTTCTGTATATAGATGAGACTATGAATACTATTCCTAAAGTGATAAGGTGTTAGTCTGAAGTAAACAAGATCAGGCATGTTGACCACAAAAGTCATAGTCTCCAATAGGAACACATAGAGATCCAGGAAGAAAGAAGTTGTTCACAACACGAAGTTGGGACCAAGGCCTTCTAGGCAACATATTTAGATCTGTATTAATCTCTTCTAGGTGATGAGTATTTGGCTCATTGCCTTATGAAGACTATTGAATTCAAATTTAGAATGACCTAAAGTCTGATTAATAGATTGTAATAATTGTAGATTGTAATAGATTGTAATTGTAGATTGTAATAATAGATTGTAATAATTGGTTCTTTTTTCAGGAGAAAGGGACACTTGCAAAGTCACAGGCTGATTTGTTTAAAGTCATTTGTCCATGTAGGTGCAGGTGGAAATGCCATTGACTGTAATTCTCTGCAGTCTCATTAGATGAGACCAGAATTGTCCCAAAGTTTTGATCATGGAGGTCTGGTGATGGCTAGCATGCCCAGAAGTCAGTGAGCTTCAGGCCAGTGGCTACTGTTTAGGATAATCTGAGAATGGCATTAGAATGAGTATGTTCTGATCTAGCAGTTATAAGAAAGAGAGAAGAAAAGAGAAAAGACCTGTTGTGGGTGGATGACAACTAGGGATCTATAGAAAATGAGGAAAAGAATGATTACAAGCAAGCAGAC